GCTATATGTTTTAGGTTTGACAATAACGCTGTAATTATGTTTTTAAAAACCTACTAGGGCCTTATCTTTTAGAGATACCTACTGAATGAGATGATAAGAAGTCTGGGATTAGTTTCACCATGATCTGGGGCAGGGGTGGGGAGGAGCTGAAGGCAAGAGGAATTGCTGTGGCCATAGTGACAATCTGCTGAGATGGAACACGGGCGCATGGAGTCCACTTCTATCCTCTCTACTTCTGTACATGTTCTGAAATTTTCTATAACAAAACTTAAAAAACCTATGCTCCCTCACCCATCAGACTATAAGCTCCCTGAAGGTGAGGCCTGTGTCTCCTTTACGGCTGTGTCCCCAGCACCTAGAATGGTGACTAGGCTATCATGGATGCTTAGTAAATATGTGGTAAATAAAAGTGATTCTCACTACATGGTGAGAACTGGCTGTGAGGTTGAGAGCAGAAGCCAGGAGGCCAACAGGGCATTTAGAAAGGAAAAACAAGCCCACAGATGGCCAATTCACTTGCATTAATCTCAACACCCACAGATTATATTTTTGTTATTTGAGACAGGGTCTCGCTCTGTTGCCTGGACTATAGCGCAGTGGTGTCATCATCGCTCAGAACAACCTCAAATTCCTGGGCTCAAGTGATTCTCCTGCCTCAGCCTCCCGAGTAGCTGGGACTACAGGAGTGTGCCACCATGCTTGGCTAATTTTTAAGAAAATTTATTGTAGAGATGAGGTCTTACTATGTTGTTCAGGCTGGCCTCCAACTCCTGGCCTCAAGCAATCCTCTGGCCTTAGCCTCCCAAAGTGCTAGAATTATAGGTGTGAGCCACCATGCCCAGCAAACTTACCCTTTTTTTCCTCTCAAACAAAACTGGCATCATACTTTACATACGGTTTTAAAGCCTTTTTTTCATTTAGCATTATTTCATTCACTTTTCCTTTCTTCTGTGATGTCATTTTAAGTACCATAAAATATTCCATAGTATGGGCAGAACTTAATTTATCCTGGGGTTGAGGCTGGTTTCCAATTTTTTACTATTATGAACATCACTATGCTAAACATCCTTGTCAATAAATCTTTGTACGATCTAGTTCCCTCAGGTTAAATTATTTGTGGAAGCGTTTGCACAGTCTTAAGTCATTTGCTTGATTTTGCCAAACTGGCCTCCAAAGGGATTGCGGGCAGGCACCTCGTGAGCAGAGAGAAGCATATGCCTGCTTCCTCACACCCTGCCAATGCTGGGCAGCACTGTCCTTTCAGATCTATGCCGATCTGCTGGCTGAAGAACTCTACGTCAGTGTCAGGGCCAGTTTTGTGAACCGTTTTCGGAAGCTTTCGTCCACTCCTCCATCTGACCAGGCAGTCTGCTTAGGCTGGTTTCATCGTGCCTTCTACTTTGAAGCAGCATGCACAGGATGTTTAATGAACAGCCACAGATGGTGAAGGAGGCAGGTGCCCGGGGCCTGGGAACATCAGCTTTCGGTGGAGGGTGAGCAGCTTCCCTCTTCCTCTTGACAGGGCTCCTGCGTGGAGAGGCTGCCCACGCTGCAGCCCTCGACAGGAACTGGGATGGGAGCTGCCCCAGCAAGACCACCTTCCCAAGGCAGGCTTCCCTCCAAGGACTTCCTCTTCCCATTGGCCCTGTTTCAGGTGGTTTGCCCTAGTATTTACTTTCATTTTTCCTGGTGAAGCTCAACTCTTCCTTAAATTTGCAGCACATCCCATGAAGTCTTGATCAACAAGGGGGTGGGGGGGAATGCACAAATGTCAGTGGGAGTTCTCGCTTTGTGCTCAACCAGTCAGTCGAGCAGACCAGGAGTGTGACAGCCCCTGTACAACAATCCGCCCTCCTCCTGGGGTCAGTCTGGGCACTGAGCCCAGTGGGGCAGCCCCCAGCAAGGACAGAGCTTGCAGCCAGCACGCTTCTCCATCACCACCACAGGCAGCACAGTGGGGCAGCGGCTAACTAAAGACCCACAGTGAATACAACACAGTTGGAAGAAAGAATTAGAAGCTCTTTACCACCCAATTTGGAACGACTCCCAAAATATACCTTGAAGAAAAAAGAAGGCGTGGGGAGAACATGCACGCACACGCACATGCACACAAAGACCGGGGACCAGCCAGATGGCTCTGGCGCAGGGGTAAGGGCCTGTTTGCAATATCTACTCCTTGGCATCTTTTGAATTTTGTGTTATTTGAATGCTTTATCTATTTAGAAAAAGAAATAAAATTAATAAAAATATATACTAAATCACACTGATTACGACGAGGAACCCTCTTCCCTAGCAAAGCTCTTGGCACGAGGTACTACCCCGTTGACGAGTCTGTCTGAAAGCCAGGGGAAGGGCGCTCCGTTTCATTCCCTCCTCGGCATTTAAGGGGCACTTACCACAGGCCCTGCAGCTACAAAGAGACCCTGCAAAAGACACTGATTTCTGAAATCAGTTTAACATGGCTAGCAGATGGGCCAGCAAAGTCATATACTTAGGATATGAAGATAGCTTCAAATCTGTTGCAAAAGGATGAATTATTTAATATTAAAACAAAAACAACTGGTGTTGGGTCCACTGGCTCTTTTGAGGTGGAAAAAAATCAAGTTAGATCCTTGTCTCATACCTAGGAAAAATAGATTACAGATGGCATTAAGAGCTGATAGAAACATAGTTATGTAAGTACTGAAAGAAAATAGAACATGCTATTTTTATGGTCTTGGGGTGGGGAAGGCCTTCCTATTCAAGATAGAAAGATTTAATTACACAAAAATCCCAATCAAAACTTTGTACTATCCATGAAACTTTCCTATAAGTCTAAATCTATTCTGAAATTTAAAATCTACTGAAAAAGTAAAAAAGAAAACCAAAACAAATTCTAGGTCACTGAAAGACACAACACAGAAAGATTTAAAAAGGACAATTTACAACCTTAGGAGAAAATATATTGTCATGTATATAATGAACAACATGTAGGTCAATATAGTGAATCAGATAAATTACCTGATAGAAAAGTGGGTAAGAAATATCAAAAGATAATATACAGTGAGAGAAACACAAAAGACCAACAAACATGAAAAGAAACTCAATTTAACTGGCAACCAGGGAAATGAAAATTAGAACCACAAGATATTTTCCCCTCACCAGATTGACTAAAACTTAAAAACAAAACTGAGAATATGTAGTGTTAATGAGAATGTGGAAAAACAGGCATTTTCGTATCCTTTGGTGGGATTATTAATAGGTTCAGCTTTTTTATGGAGGCCAAATTTTAAATGTATATACTTTAAGACTGTAATTTCACTTTAAAAAATTCATCCCACAGAAATATTTGCACAGATGCCCAAAGCTCAGATGGACCGTCACTGGATGAATGTCCAGAGTTAGAGGACTGGTTGCACACACACTAGGGAATATTATGCAGCTATGAAAAAGAATGAGGTTTATTGTAAATGTGTGTGTGATAAACAACCACAAACAACATGGCCTGGCTGGAGCAAATGGGAAATTGGGCTGGATGACGTGGCCCTGGGGGTCAGCCTGAGGTATCTGGACCCAGCCCTGCAGGCAAGGGGGAGCAAGGCAAGGGGGAGCAAGGCAAGGCGGATAGACTTTAGGGCAGGGAAGGAAGAGGCAGAATGCGTCTGCCACCCCCCAGGTGAGCCGGTGAGGAAGCAGGACAGGGTGGGAAGGAGATGACTGATTAGAAGTGACCCAAGTTGACATGGGGAGGTAGCCATAGGTAAGGATTTAGGATTCAGAAGACAGAATGGACAGGATTTAGGGATGAAAGGGATAATAACGAGGCAAGGATGGAAGAAACCTCTAGGACTGCAATTTCCAGCCTGGGCAATGGAGTGGATGAGCGGTTTGTGGGACGCCGGGCAACCGGGAGGCAGGGGTTGGCCTCTCCAGATCACGTGGAAAGAAATCCCAGGTGTCTGGGCTGAATGAAGGCGGCAACCACTGAGGCCCCTGGAGGCCTCGGACAGAGCTAACCAGAAACCCAGTTCTTTCAAATACAGAGTAAAAACTTTACTCTCAGGTCTGTGGAATGGCAGGCTCTCTTCCAACCAGATTCACGGGAAAGAGATGGAGTTCTCCACCTCAGGATCGAAGTTGAGTCAGGATGACTGGACCTGACTTACTCATTTGGTCAGTGAGCAGAGCTTATACCCGGCTGGGCCCTGGGGGTGTGAGGCGATTCAAACTCCAAGCCTGCTCCCAGAGGCCACCCTCCAGAGAGACCCAGGGGAACGGGGCCCAGTGGAGGGTGCCTGCTGAAGGCTGGGGCTGAGAAGGAGCATCATGCCAGGCAGAGGAGCTGCAAAGGGATGGGCCCAGAGAGAGGAGAGGAGAGTGGGAGAAGGAGGTGGAGAGATGAGGAGAGACAGGGCCAGACACAGCCAATGTGTCTTGCCTCCTCCTGTGCTGAATTTGTTCGGCTTGTTCATTCATTGGAAAAGAATTTACAAAGTGCCAACAGCGTGTCAGGCACCGTTCTAGATCTGGGGCAATATGGCAGTGCTCCTGATCAGGGACCTGCTCTGGTGCAGATGACTTGAAGGAGAGGCAGCCGTAAAGAAGGACACAAAGAGTAAGATAATTTCTGGCAGAGACAGATGCTGTGCACACAGTAAAACAGAATGATGAATTGAGAGTTTGGGAGGGGCGGGAGGCAGGTGATCAGGGGATGTAATTCATCTGAGGCCTGAATGGGAACCACAGCCAGACTGGGGAGGGAGCCCCAGAGAAAGGAGGGCGGGGGCACTGCAGGCAGGAGCTAATTGCACAAGGCAATTGTTTTGCTAATAAGACCATGTTAAGAAAATTAGGCTTTTTTTCATTTGTAAAGAACTCATTAGTAAATTGTATTTTTAGTTCTTCCTCCCTGGGGTTTAGAAGTTGGGCAGGAGGTTTGTTGGGGCTGCTGGGGAGGATCCTGGATCCAGGCAGGACCTGGTGGGGAGGAGTGTTGAGGGAGGAGGAGCAGCAGCACCCACCTGCTCCGGGAGGTCAAGTCCAGGAAGAGCTGCACAAGCGCCAGCAGGTTGTGGTGGTGGTCGGACGCCTGGCTCAGGGTGCGGCACAGCTGCTGGAGCTACGGGTAAGAAGGCACCAGGTAGGCTGTAGGCTGAGCTGCCTTCCACTCTGACCTTGCCACCCAGCCCACTGAGAGAGTAACGGGGACAGCCACAGAGGCCAGGCACATTCCGATGACCTCTGAGCAGTGCTGTCCCCATCCAGGACACTCAAGAGGCCCCCTCAGTCCCCAGTGCGTGGGTCAGGCGCAGGGTATGCAGTACCTTCCCCGGCCACTCCCGGATGTTCTCCAGAAGCAGGAGCAGGAGCTGCTGGAGGTCGACCTTAGGCAGCAGTCGGAGCCCCACGTCCAGGCCAGCATGACACAGCAGCTCAATCAGGCCCAAGAGGCTCCCGTCAGTGTAGGCCTCTGGCTGGGCCAGGGCACACAGCGTGAGGAACTGGACAGAGAGGGAGAAAACGAGGGTAGGGGTGGCCACATGACGAGGGGTGGGGGAGAGGATTTAGGGGACCATCTCCTTGGGAGACAGTCGGCACTGCCAACCCTTTTGGCCAAACTGGGTAGGAGCTGAGAAAACAAGCAGCAAGGCCTGGATTTGAGGCCCCCTCTGGGGTCCCCAGTGGCAGGCACAGGCATGCAGAGGGTGTGCTTTCTGCAGCATCAGTCAGGCCTCGCAGCCAGCACAGTGCCTGCGATGGTGCTGAGCTCACCACAGATGCTCGATGACACTGAATTAAACTGCTGAATGGGTCTGGATTTCAAGCCAAGAGCGCTCCGGGAAGAGGCAGGCAGCCTGACTCACCTTACAGATGTAGCTCAGACTAATGTCCACGGCAACCTCCTGGGGAGTGTCCTGCTGCTCATTTCCGCTCAGGCCAGCCTCACTTCTAAGCACTCTAAGGTAGGACAACAGAGATGACAATGAAATAGGAGGGCATGAGGGGAGAACTGAGGCAGAGGGAGGTCTCTGCTTGCTCAGGTGCAGAGAACTCAGATGACCCATTCAGCAAGGACATCGCTGCCCTGTGTGTTGGTCATCTACTGCAGCATAACGAATTACTCCAAAACCCAGTGGTTCAAAAACAGCATTTGGTATCTCACCCAGTTTCTGGGGGCCAAGTACGCAGGGGTAGCTAAGTGGGGTGGTTCTGGCTCAGGGTCTCAGAAGGTTGCCGTTGAGATGTTGGGCAGGGCTGCAGTCGTCTCAGCTTGACTGGGCTGCAGGACCTGCCTCCAAGCTCACTCACATGGTCACTGAGCGGCAGGCCCCACTTCCTTGCTACATGGGCCTCATCATAGGTCTTGCGACATGGCAGCTGGTTTCTCCAAAGCCAGCTATCTGGGGGGGGAGGAAGGGGGAATATACGCGGGAGACAGAGCTGCAGCCCTTCATAACCTAATCTTGGAGTGACATCCCATCTCTTCGGCTGACTCCTGCTGGTCACGCAGGTGGCCTGACTTGGTGTGGGAGGGGCTCCATGGGGGGTGAACACCAGGAGGTGGGCATCCATGGGGTCCCTTTGGTGGTGGCTCCCGCATGCTGCCATTCCCGTGAGGCCTCCAGCTTCAGGTTTCTGGGACTTGGAAAGCAGAAAATCATACCTCCAGTCCCCCCAAAGGGTCTTCCTCAAAAGAGTTCTGTCCACTTGACGGTGGAGACTCTGTGTGCACTGCAAGGCACAGCACGTGCTAGCTAACGTGGGGATTAGCTTCTAAAGTCAGCAAGGTGAAAGTCAGAATAAAAACGGTTCCTTGGAAACCCCCCTCCAAAAAGTGTTGCCTGGAGCCGAGTGTTGTCTTCTGACAAGCCCAGTGTGGCCAGTTCTCCCAGTGATGAGACGTATCTAGCTGAGCCCCAGATGAGGGTAGAGGCCAGGGCTGTGGACTAAAACAACCCCCTATAAAGACCAGAGCCACACTCAGGGTGGCGAGAGGCTCACAGCGAGGGCGGCTGTAGTGGACGGCACAGTCCTACCACCTGTCCTGCAGCTTCCCGGGCCCCCCCTCGCTACATCGTCCTCTCTCTGGCAAATGTGCACTGTAGATTTCGGATAAGTTGGGCGAGCTCACGACGAGGCTCCCCTTTGCTGTCTCAACTACTGCTCAGCTCTCGTGAGCGCGCTTAATGTTCCTGGGAACAGTAGGCTCGCGGTAAACGCAGTTAGTGCTGATGACGACAATGGGCTTCGGGTGGCCACCCTGCCATGGGCATGGGGAAGAGTGTGAAGTTTCTGCTTTTCTTTATTTCCTGGCACTGGTGCTGCCGCTCAGAGGAGAAGGAGGAAAGATCCGTCTCCTAGGCAGTGCGAAGTTGGCACCAATAAACCAAAGTTGGTGTGGGGGTCTGGGCTCAGCTCTCCTTCCAGATTGTAGCATTTATTAAGGCCAGATAATGGGCGAGGCGTTTGCACATCTGGGCACACACTGGGCCTGTATGCGCCAGTAGGTGAGGGGGACTCCTGGTTTGTACCAGCCTATGAGCATGCACCAAATACACAAGCATGGATGGGCATGCTTTTAGATTTCCCAAAGGGCAGGGCAGCCAGAGTCAACTTCAAAAGTCTGAAGAGAAATGGGCTTTCAGAAATCTGGTGCTGCCAAAGGGAGGAGTATAGAAACCATGAGCTGGTAACGCTTCTTCCTGAAGCGGGGGAGGGGAAGTGTGGCTGTGACAAGGGCCCTCTCCTCCTTGGGAAGGAATGTCCAGCCCTCCCAAGTGAGGGGGTGGATGGCCTCCTAGCGTGAGCTCCACAGTTTCCCTGGCCCATTTCTCCTTGGGAACAGCAGGCTGACAGGCAATATAATGGGGGTCCTCCATTCCTTGCCTAAGCACTCACTTGACTGAAGAGTTGGCATCTGTGACTGCTATTCTGAGACGTATCATCAGCTGATCCCCAGGACTCCACCACTGCTTCCAGCGAGAGGCCATGCAGCATAGCAGGGGAAGTCACAGCCTGTCATTCCCTGCTCCCCTCCTGGACTCAGCAGGTTAAGAGAGAGCTGATGGCCCCACCACAGGACTCCACAAGCAGAGTGGCCTCATCAGTCCCACCCCTGTTCCCCACCCCGGCTGCCTGTACTAGTTGGGGCTCCTAGCCTGTCTGTGCCCAGCATCCAGGAGCTGGTATTTGGGTCTCAGTGACGCTGCTCTACACTCATTAAGTAGTTTTACGAGGGGGACATCACTGACCTCAACCTGGGTTTCTACATCTTCTTTCCCCAAAAGTTGAATAATAAAGTGACCATGTGTATGGCACGCCTGTGTCCTCAGAGGGAAGATGGTAAGCAAAGTGTCTTCACACCATGACCACTGTAACTGAGAGCCATCTGAAGGTGCCCAGCGGCTGGGGCACCAGCACGCTGGCTGTATGCTGGCAGTTAGCAGGGTGCTCTCCCATAGGCCTGTACTGCTAAACAAAGCTCACCTGTTAGCTTAATGCAATGAAGAGGAACTGATGCTGAGCTAATGGGAGAGGGGAGACATGCAAATTTTACCTGGATCCAAATACACTGTTCCAAGATGGCCAGTTACCAACCACCCCCACACTTGATAGAGTGCCCTATCAATGTATTAATTGTCATTTATTTACCCATTTGGCCTCTGCAAGGGGCTGCTCTTTGGAGAATCAAGTGCACAAAGGCTTTTGGCACCAGGCAGCACCTCCAGGCTGTAGGTCTTTAGTGGCCAGGCCTGTGTGTCTGAGCAGGGCTCTTCAGCTGGCCTTTGTATGGAGAAGCAGCCTTGGAGGAACAGCTGTAGCTACCTAAGGACCTTCCCTATGTTCCCAGGTGAGACCGGGGTGCCTGAGGAAGCCCATTCTGCACAGTGGTGTGGGCACATCCCCCTCTCCTGCCGAGGTTGCTGACGCCCTTCTTCCTGCTCCCTCCCTTCACACGCATACTCTGGTCCCTCCTCTTCTTTCTTTTTTTTTTTTGGAGACAGAGTCTCACTCTCTTGCCTGGGCTAGAGTGCCATGGCGTCAGCCTAGCTCACAGCAACCTCAAACTCCTGGGCTCAAGCGATCCTCCTGCCTCAGCGTCCTGGGTAGCTGGGACTACAGGCACATGCCACCGTGCCCGCTAATTTTTTGTATTTTTAGTTGTTTGGCTAATTTCTTTCTATTTATAGTAGAGACGGGGTCTCACTCTTGCTCAGGCTAGTCTCAAACTCCTGAGCTCAAGCAATCCTCCCGCCTCAGCCTCCCAGAGTGCTAGGATTTCAGGCGTGAGCCACCGCGCCCGGCCTCCTCTTCTTCTTTCCACCCTCAAATATCCTCCCATGTTCTCCTCCCCAGCCTTATCACTGAGCGGAGTCATTCTATTTTCAACAAGGTGGACACCAAATGATCCGCTGCACAAGGACTGTATGTTTTTGAAAGGAAATCTTGAAGTACTAGATGGGAGATGGCAATGGCTTTGCAGGAAATCTGAGATGAGGAACAAATGGTGAAAGACTTGTCCTTCTCATAGCAACTGGACAACCCAGTCGTGCGGCCATGCACAGAGACAACCCAGCCCCTCGTTTCCTGCCTCAGCTAGTATGAAGCTCTGTGGGTGTCCCCAGAGGAGTCCCTGAGGCATCTGTTCTGCCAGGGGAGCCCTAGATGAAAACATCCCTAGAAGTCAACATAAAAGAGATGCCTGACATGGAACCAGCTGGCATGAGACAAACCTCTGAGTTTGGTCAAGAACAAGGATTAGGAGGACCATGGGGAGAAGGTGCCTGCCCTGAGGTTTCCCTTGTGGCCTAAAGGATGTTGTGCTCTTGGTGGATGATGCCAGAACCTTCTTGGTGCTTCCTGAATACTCTGGATGAGCTGTTCTCCAACCCCATGACCCCCAGAGCTTCCCCAGTGCAGCAGCCAGGCAGCAACCCAGGAAACCTCCTAGAGCATTTTCACCATCCACACACACCAGGGAAGACATGGGAGGGGTCTCCAGGCAGAAAAACCTTCCAGCCCTGAGTGGCTTGGCAGGTGGTCCCCAGCCTGGTCTTACAGAGCCTCAAGTGGGGAAATCACCCCTGTGGCCATCAGCCAGATCCTCCAGGGCAGTTGTGAATCCTCTTGAGGAAAACAGTGTCAACTGCCAGGCCAAGGTCTTTCCCCAGGAAAGGAGGCAGGGTGTCAAAATGACCTCTCTGGGAATGCAATGTGAGACTCTGACAGCTCTCTGGGCCCTGCTTAGGACAACATGGCTCTGCCTCCTCCCACACAGAGCTTAGCTACGCTTGGGAAAGCTGAAGTCTGCATGCTGGGGTTTGTGTTCCAAAGTACTTGAGATGATGCGTTTAAAGGACCACAGTTCTCATGCCCACCCCACAGTCCCCCCACCCTCCATCCCAGAGATGAAGACAGAGTTGTCCTGTAGGTGAAGGGCAGGCAGCAAGCAGTCAAATCCTGGGAGAGCTGGGAGGAAGGGGAGGGGAAAGTGGCTCTTTGCAGAGTGAAGTGTAACCTAGGTGGATATAGGTCTCCAGGGTCATCTCCCACTTCCCAGGTGGATGGACACACCGGGTGCTCATCGGACAGTCAGAAGTGGCTCTTCTGAACCCCATGGCACCCCCAGGCCCTCCCCGTGACATGCATTTGTTTTTCTGAGTGCAGTTCTTTCCCCCACTCACCGAAGACGGTAGTGTGATTGAAGTTCCATGTTAGGAAGAGGCAAGTAGCTTATGATAACAGATATGGAACTTGGAGCAAGAGAGGGAGAGGGGAGCATGGCAGGCTGGCACACGCATGGGGTATTTATAGCAGAGCCGACTGTGCTTTGGTTTGGCAGACAATTATTAAACACGGTCATGGAACAGGTTATTAAGAAAACTCTGGCTTTCCCTGCAGAGGAACATCTGCCTGACAAGGCAAAGGAAGGGTCCTGGCACCTCCTGGGCCTGTGATCATGGGCAGGATGCACGGGAGGGGGATCCTATATAACAGCCCTCCAGGTTCTAAACACTCTCTCAAACCAACTTCTCAAAGGATTCTCAAGAAGGAGTTTAGGTGTGCTATCATTTATAGAACAAGATTATGATATATAACCCTTTTACAGCCTTGATCTAGTCACCATCCACTGACAATAGTTGTTTATGCGCTGTGTGGCTCTGTTTCTAGAGGGCAGGGACAATGCATATGCAAATTAACATCATTGTTCACGACCAACCAGACCCAACCCAGGGCACAAAGGGGGCACTCACAAAACAAAACCCAGCATCCTGGAAATGTAAACCAGTGCTTTGCTGTTCATGAGTTGATATTAAGTCCAAATAAGAGGTCTGAATACAGACAAAAGAGATGGGAACCTGTCCAGGAAGACACTAACTAGACTGGGAAGTCTGGGTTTCTCCAGAGGCGGGGGGGTGCACGAAGGGCTCTGAGTCAGTAAGTGGCAGAAACAGGTGTGAGACAAAGTGGCCAGGCTCTCCCACTTCGGGTGCTTCCCATCCCTGAGGCTGGGAGCGTGGAAATTCACATGCCATTCACAGGCAGCTGTGTTGTGTGTGGTTGTTCTGTACTTCCCCACCATGTGGGCCACAGCCCTAGCCCAGCAACTTTCAAACAAAGGAGAAAAGGCAGGAGGAAGGGGAAGTGCTCACCTGCTGCCATGCTGAAAGGGCCCCAGGGGGCACAGAGCAGGGATATGGGCTCCCAGGCTGTGAAATGCCTCCATGACCTCCTGCAGGGAGGGGCACCACAAGCGCATGTCTTCCTCTGTCAGGTGAGCAAAGGAGGGCAGAGAGTTAGAGGAGGAGAGAAGGGGCAGGCTCTGACAACCCCCGGCCCAAGTAACCGGTTTCTGTTCTCTGACAGCATAGTGTTAATCTGCAGAAATGAAGCAACCAGGGGTTTTCAAATATCACTGGAGCTTTGGGAACCTGGACATTCATCCTTATCCAGTCCTTAAGGTGTGGCTGCACTCCAGTTCAAGGGCCCAAGGACAACCTCACCCTGACCATCTGACCACCCACATGAAGCAGCGGTCAGGGTGCTCAGCTGCTCATGACTAAGTGACAAGAGAGGCCCTGACTCTGCAAGGCTCAGAAGACACCAGTCTCAGCACCCTTAGGCTCTCTGTGCTGAGGCCAGGACCGAGCCCACTGCTGACTCGCCATCACTCTTCTGCAACGTCTGGGTGTCCCTTGGTCCACTGCCCCTGCCGGGAGCACACCTTGCCTCCCTTCCACAGCCTGAGACACGTCCTCTCAGCAAGGGTGGGCTATGGGTACCAGTCCCTCTTGACCAATTTAACAAAACATGAACGATAATCTGATCCCACCAACCAATGGGAGAAACCTTACATACTCAGGGCCTTTCCTCTGTTAGACTATATAAGGATATTTTCACAACTGGGAGAGTAGAAATATAAAAAATAATGTTTCTGTGCATCTTTTCCAAAGATGGCTGCACAAGATCTCCCATCCCTGTGTTCTCTGTGTTGTGATCTCCCACACTCCATGGACAGGCAGCATCTATGTCTCTACCCCATTATCATTCCTCCACAGTATCTTACTCATCAATGTACTTGCTTCTTGTCTGTCTCTTCCTGTTAAACGAGGGCAGGGCCTATATCTGTGCTCATCTCCACATGCCCCATGCCTAAAAAAAGTGGCTAGTGCGTAGAAGAATTGGAATGAATGAATGAATGAATGGATGGAGAGAATCCAAAACAAATCTGAATAGTACACAGCTAAAAGGATGCTATGTTCTGAGTGTCTGTGTCTCCCCAAAGTTCGCACATTGAGACTTAATCCCCACTGTGACAGTATCAAGCAGTGGAGCCTTTGGGAGACAATTATATCATGAGGAGGGGCCTCCTGAATGGGATTAGCACCCTGATAAAAGAGGCCCGAGCAAGCCTGTGAGGACACTGCCACAGGGTGTCATCTTTGAGGCAAAGACTGAGCCCTCACCAGACATCAGATCTGCTGGCACCTCAATCTTGGACTTCCCAGCCTCCAGAACTGTGAGCAATAAATTTCTGTTATTTGTAAATTACCTAGTCTAAGGTACTAGGTTATAGCAGCTCAAATGGACTAAGAGGGGAACTGAAAACAAGCCACGAGATGGGCTGGCAGTGTCAAGAACACACATGATGCATTTGACAATGCGTGAGGCACTGGGATCAAGGGCTTGGAGGCTGGTTTAGGGATGCATTAGAAGCCATGCTTGAATCTTCAGCATCCTGGAGGGTGAGTGTTCCGTCCTAAGGACCCACTTCAGCGTATCCCACCATGTGCAGGAACTACCCAGGTATGAAAAGATAAAAAGGTGACCTAGTGGAGATCTTGACCTCGGGAAGCTCACAGTCTAGGAGGAAAAAGAACCAGGCAGATAAATAAATATGAGGCACAGAGTCTGCTCAGAGGAAGGGGTATTAAGTGGGCATGGGAAGGAGGCAAGGCAGGGAACATGCCACAAGTAATGGGAAGGGAAGTGCATGCTCGTCGTAGGGACAGAGATGGCAGAGGCAGGGCAGCATGAAAGAGCATGGCATGTTGAGACCAGAGGCATGAATGGGGCACAGAAAAGGGAAGGCTGCAGTGAGCTGGACACTTCCACAAGGCCAACTACAAGAAACAGTTTCCTAAACTCATCGAGAAGTTTCAGCAAGTCTTACAAGGCTGCAGTGCCTGCAGACAGTGCAATGAATGGCAAGCAGAGGGGTCTCTGAAACCTGTCCAAGGACATTTCTTCAGCAGGCATTGAGTGTCTCTCTTCGGAAATGTATATGGCTTGGGACTCACCCAACAAGTAATTAGACTCTTAGAGGAGGAAAACTTTCTTGTTTGTTTTTTTTCCCTCTTGGGCAACTTAACAAGGTAGAGAGCGATAATGATACCCCTTACTCGCTTCACAAACAAGCTGGGAAGAATGAAGTCTGCAAAACACAATGAGATTCCACTCACAAGAGAGAACTGTTTACCAGGACATTTGGGGGACTGTGCACGTATGTGCACGCATCTGCGGGTGGGTGGATGAACTTTCCTGGGAGGAAAAGACAATTGACCTAGAGCGAGGCCCTGGGAGGCCCAGATAAGCTGGAACCTCTTGCTGGGAGGCCCCAAGGGGGGCTGTGTCCAGCCACCCCTCTCGAGCCCCACATCAGCCCACACAGGTGCATTTTTTGCTGTGAAACTCCTCGATGGGCAGCAGTGCTGACCCCACCAGCCCCAAGCCTGGAGCCTGGCATCCTCCCCTCTCTCCTCTCCTACCTAGTAACTCCTCCATACCACAGCATGACCCAGACTGAGGTGTCAGGAGCAGTGACAGAGGAGGGGCCTGGGAGGTCTCAGGACAAATCAGTCCCCACCAACAGCCCTGAAAGCTGGTTATGTGACGACAGGAAAATACCACCCCAAAGCCCATAATTAACACTGCCTATAAGTAGGCCACGCGCTCAGCTTTTCCTGAGTGCTGTTTGTCCCAAATGAGGGATTTCTGGAGAGCTGACACAGAAGAAAACTCAGACATGAAGCTGCCAGGCTCCAGCTCGCTAACTCAGTTCCTCCATGCACACAACAGGCGTTTTAGGTGATTCCCAGGGGGGCTCCAGGGAACCGTGCCTTTTAAAATGCCAGCGCTAACAGAGCTGCACCCGGGCTCTGTGTAGAGGCTGTGAGTCTGGAGGCATCCCTTTAGGTCTCTGTCCTGGGACGGAACTGATGCTTCCAGGGATAGGCAGAGGAAGAAAAGTGGCAAGCCTAAAATAAAAGTGACTTTTCCATCTGGGCTCTGGAAGAAGCTGTTAATCCCCCACTGTCCTCCTGGCACCGTTTACTTGGAATGGGAAAACCGTGCACATCCCAAGAACCTCCTTGGTGCCCCGCGTGCCAGCCCCCGCAGCTCTAAGGCCTGGCTCCCACTCCCCTCCCTGGGCCTTCACCCTCCCCCTTTTCTCATCTTGGGTCTCAGGGGCATGACAGCAGCGGGCAGGGGCTGCAGGCTGCAGCCTCTGTTCTTGTTCTCCCCCCACGCAATCAAACAGCTAAGGAACATGGTGGGTGGCTGCACAAGGAACACCGCTGCCTTGGGTCCGGATTCTCTGACCCTGCAGTGACACAGCAGGAGGGGAGGATCCCATAAGCCCTAATGGGGGGGCTGGTTCCTAAAGGAAAGCAAGCTACCCGCCAGACTGAACCCCAATCCTAACTGGAGTGCGGGGCTCACAATGTTTATGGGAGGCCTAAAATTTGATCATTTTGTACCTTCCCAACTCGAATTACTTAACTTCCCTCACCACTTTTGTACTTAAATTTAAACTTGTTTCAATATCGCTAGCTTTAGTCAATTAGCTTTAGTTTTAGTCATTTAAACTGTTTATTCACTCAGCAAATGTTAATCGAACACCAGGCGCTTTTCTAAAATCTGAGGACCCAGCAGTGAGCACAACAGACAGAAGTCCTGCTCTCCTGGTGGATGGTCTGGTGGAGAAACCTCACAATGCAAATATACGAATATACAAAATGACACCGGGTGGCAAACGTGGCTTGGAGGAAGGGTGCTCGGGGGACATTGGAGCACCCCCAAATGACACGGGGGATGATGTTGCGGACAGAAGGAAGAGCCTCACAGAGACCTGAGGCCAGGGCGCGTTTCCTTGTTTTAGGTTGAGCAAGGAGCCCAGGGAGCTGGAAGGGCACAAGGCCAGGCATGGGGATGAAGATGGAGAGGCAGAGTGGGGGTGAGTGAGGGGAGGACAGGGCAGGCCCTGTAGCCGGGGACATGGCCAAAATCATATGTCACATCGTATTTTAAAAATGTGCACATTCTGTCACCCCAACTGCAGTATAAGCACAGGACACAGGCCAAGGTCTCCCCGAGACTGACACTGTCTCTCCCCACAGAGAACCACGTGCCCAGGGGACCTTGATAAATTCTGACCCACTTGCTGTTCTTGGCCTCTCCACCAACACTGGCTTTTTTCCAGAGCAGTACCCACTTGCTTTAAGAACCTTCTTTTGGTTTCTTCTCCATCCTGCAACCAGCTCGATGGGCACATTCATTTTCCCTCTTCTCCGCACTCACCCCGAGCCTGAGGCCCTTCCTTTGGTGCCCCTGACAACCTCCTTGCCTTGCTGTAACCCACCCTGCACACACACACCCCCGACACCATCTCTGTAGGCCCCTGGCCTGTTTATTCACAGGAGTGTGTGTACAGGGTAGGTGATGCTGTCCCCAGGCCACCTCTCCTCTCTCCTGCCCTCTGTAACTCACACTGCCTGGTATCACCTAACACCGCTGAGCATTTGAGGCCCCTGGTGTGCAGGACAGAGTTGCATTGTGCCAAACCACAGAACCACTCAAATCTGCTAGAATTAGGTTCCCCTGCAAATAACAAAAAGAACACAATTGAAAAACAAAACCAAAAGCAAAATTAAACAACAAAAGCCCCTCCTGGGCCTCAATAAGCTAGAATTTTATTCTCTGATGAAAAAGAAGTCTAGAGGTGAGCAGATCACAGCTGGTGTAGAGAACTGACTACCCCTGTAGGATCTTGGGTACCTGTTTTCCTGGTCTGCCATCCTCCGCATGTGCCTCTCATGCTCAAGGCTAGCTCATGATCCAGGATGTCTGCTGGAGGCCCAGCTATTATGTTTCAACTACAGGCAATCACTTTCTCATGTTGCCACCTAAGTATACATTCTTGGGTTGTTTTTAAGGATGCAGGGCTCCCTTAGTGTGACTCACGAAGGTAGTAGCAAACCACCCTC